AATATTAGTATAAATTAGCAGAAGCTTGTCCCTGTACATCATACTTTTCCTCTAACAATGGAGTCGTGCCGGTCACCTTTGGGGGAAAAACTTTTAACTGAAATAACGTGACTTGCGGTTTGCATCGGAAGTTCCTGTATATTTAATCGGGGCTTCCTTCCCTCGAGGTTTCCATATCTGATCTCGTCTTTCGTCTATTTAAGTTCGTTCTCGAGATTAATGTAAGACGTCGACAGTGGGCATTTATAAGTTTACAATCTTTTCAAATCGCAACACGATTACACCCGGCATTTCGTCGACCACGTGCAAATACGATATTCACTTATCGTATTTGCACGTGAAGAAGAGCAAAGAAGTGTTTAGGGCTAGAGGAAATTTTCTTGAAATAAAAAAATTATGGATTACGAGAAATTTGAATTTGATAGATAACGACGAAATGTAATTTCGGAAAAAGCAAATCTAAGACGACTTATAAATAAACTTTTAAGAAATTCGTAGGAGGAAAACGTTCCAGACGGGCCTGAAATAAAAGTTTAAAAATTCCAGCAGCCGATTTGTAAATATACGGTTTGGAGTTGTAAAACACCAGCATGAACGTGCAAAATTTTTAATAAAAGCCGTACGTCAACAATGAGAAACTTTATGTTTGTTGCTAACAATCTATAATGCAACAATGAGAAACTTTATGTTTGTTGCTTACAATCTATAATGCAACATCNCATATCCCGTACTTGAGCCGCCCTACGGGCCCCCTTTGGGATTTTCGCTTTATCGGCGACCCTGGGGCCCACTGTTCCGTTGGGTTGGGCAGGGTGCCCCATTGATTGTTTGCGCTTTTTGGCTTTTCGACTGTTTAATCTAGGGCGAGTGCCTGCGATTTATCTAGCTATTCTTTTGGAGCCTTTCAGTAACAATCCCAGGGGAAGTAGGGACGAACCTTCACGAGGTCCTGCCTGTAAGTAGCCCGAAAGGGTGAAACAGATCGTTCCCTGCGAATAAAACTTAACAGTCCTTTTAAGGGCTATGACGGCCAAACGGCCACACGTGCAGCTGTCAGACGACGAGTTGTCGTCGCAAGGTGACATGGATGTGCAAGCGGATGATGAAAGACTAGTATTAGTGGAAAACATCCGCGAAGAAGTTCGCAACTATATGTTATCCAATGCCGGCTGCAAGCTGGGAGCTGGCGATCATGTCAAGTTCGTATGTGCACAAATTAATCGCATAATCATTCTGATGTCAGAGAAGCGGAGGGATCCATTGCAAGTAGCAGTGGAGAGTCTACATGAGAAATTGGATAAGTACATGGAGCAAGGGGGACCAGTCGTTCCTTCGTATGCGCAAGTGACCGCAAGGAAGCAAGCAAGACCACCAAGTAAGGAGGTTATCTTAGTTGACCTGGAGAACGAAAACGAAGATCCGGAACTTACCAAGAGTAAATTGAAGAAAAATGTGAATCCAAGGCAATTGGGAATAGGAATCCAGGCGGTCAGAAAACTAAGAAGAGGAGGCCTGGCCATTGAAGTAGCCACAACAGAGGAGAAGAAGAAGCTGAGAGGTATCATAGAAGAAAGAACAGGTCTTAAAACCAGAGAACCTTTGAGAAGACGACCAAAAGTAGTCATCTATGGTGTGGACAAAGAAATCACACGTGAAGAGTTACAAGAATGCATTTATCAACAAAATGAACACATCCAAGAAGCTATGGCAATAGAAGATTTCGCTCGACAATCTACCGTTAAATTCCAATTCGGAAATAAGGCTAGCTCTACAACCAACTGGGTGTTAGAACTCGACCCTCTACCAAGAAGACTTCTATTGCAAAGTAAGAAATTAAATATAGGTTGGACACGGTGCGGAGTTGAGGACTATTTGTCCGTTACGCAATGTTTTCAATGTTGTAAACTTGGTCATATCTCAAGGGAATGCAAGGAGAAGGGCCCCATCTGCAGTCAATGTGGGGGAGCCCATAAATACAAAGAGTGTACCAATAAAGGCAAAGTAGAATGCGTAAACTGTAAACGAGAGAAAATGAAGGAGACGGGACATAATGCGTGTTCCAAAAAGTGTCCCTTGATTCTAAAGGTTCGTAAGATGCTAATGTCGAAGATCGACTATGGAGAGTAACCCTGAAACTTGTGGAAATGGAAAGGAAAGAAAGTTAAGGATTGTTCAGATCAATGTCCAAAGGTCAATTAGTGGCACTTCAGCGCTCTGCAAAACGTTGGAGACGACTGATATAGCAATGGTTCAAGAGCCATACTGTTGTAAAGGCAAGCCGGCCTGTCTAAGGAGCACGTACAAGGTATTATATAATGAATACTATAGCCCATCTACTGTGGCTATTATAAACAATCCATACATTCCCGTAGTATTTTATGGTGAGGTCAGTGATAAATATCTTACATGTCTGGAAGTTGGGATCAATGAAGACAGCTATGTTCTAATCAGTGCTTACTGCCCGATAACAGATGACATCAATCCACTACTTAACAATCTGGAAAGGCTCATTAAAAGATTTGATGATAGGAAAGTTATTATCTGTGGGGACTTTAATGCCCACTCAGAGCTCTGGGGAGACCCNAAAATCACTATGAAAGGAAATTTGACACTTCAAGCAGACTGTTTGTGTTTGCAGAATTTTCTCTGACAGTGATTTTTTAAATTAATTATTTTTACAAAAAGCCAAAAGTTTAATCTCAAAATGCAATTATAAAACAAATGAATTATAAAACAAATGAATTATAAACCTAATGAACAAATGTGAAATGTGATCAATAGATTTTATTGTGTTGGTGATTTATACAAAAGAGTTTCCATGCCATAATGCTGAAATTAGTGGAAGCTAAAACAGAACCCACTTAATGCATTTGATGTTCCAAACTTGTATCTGATGATTCAGTGACAGGATGCAGCTGATCACAATGATATTTTTTTTTACAAGAAATATTCTGTATTTTAAGCTGTCAAATTATAAGCAGTTATAACATAATAATTCTGATAGACCATGCTTTTCAATTGTCACAAACAAATATCCATAACCAAAAGTAATAGGATTAAAATCATTTGAACAAGTTGATCATGCTAAGCAATTAATCACTCTGCCTTTTTGAAACATTGTCACAGTACCAACATCTTTGGATATGAGGAGGTTCTCCATCTTAGAAATAATTGAGTAAATAGATTCTTTCTGCTACAGTAGTAAAACAACAAAATTGTTTAGCATTTCTCAATCTCTCTGGACAGCAATGGAATTGATTACATTTTCAGTTTGACAATTTTCTATGAAAAAGAATAGGTCAGTGATAAATATTGCTGTAAACACACGCCATAGGTTAATTATTGGTAATGGCAAAGGAGTTTTTAAAGTACTAATATTGTAAATGGAGAAACATTAAACTTATGCAATACACCCACACCCCAACAGTAAAGAATTTATTGGTTTACATGAAGATTCTTCATTCTAAATGTGAATAGTTGTTCAGAATTTCATTCAGTAAAAATGAGCCTTATTTCCTCACAAGTTCTTCTACGGTCAGATATCATTCATCTGTATTTAAGCAAGAAATATCAGACCAAATGTCAGTTAGTTTCTGCATCATTAGAAAATATATATTGATTGTCTCATTTTGTAAGGACAAAGATGTAACAATTTTTATGTAAATTTTCTGCAAAGTTGCATAGAGTATATCCAACTGCCTGGGCACTTCTTGTTTATTGCTGGAACCTACTGCACTCTATTGGTCATTCCATATTAGTAGGATAATGTCCTTAGCTTGCTGTGAATAAATTTGCATTCTTTTCCTGATTTTCCTTCAACTTCTTTAAATTGAGAAATTATTCTGAAGAAACGGTGTTACTAGACTTCTTTGCAGTATTTGCATTAAGTTCCAGAAATATAGCAGTGATATTATTTAGTGTTTTTTCATAGTATAACTTCATGAGTAACAAATTCAGGCAATTGAAAGTATCTGCAAGTATTACATGAAATGTCTCACATCTTTCTTTACACATATCAATTGTCAATTGAAGAAATCAATTTGCAAGTGTTATACTTCTTCTTTGCTTTTATTGTCAAATTTTTCCTGGTAATGATTTTTGGAACTACTTTTTTTCATAGAAATTAATTCTGTGTATTCTGAAGAATACTGTAAGGTCTCTTTTTATGCAGATTATTTTTATGCGATTTTGAAGTTGTGCCCAAAAATCCCAAAATTTTGAAGTTGTGCCCCAAAATTTATGTGCGATTTTGAAGTCATCCAAAAATTTCTTGGACAAACATACATATAGGCTTGTTTAGGAAGCCCGTGTATAGACAGTCTCCAAAAATCGTGGAACGCTCAAAGCTCACTCCATTTGTTTCACTGACATATAACGTTTATGGATGTAAAGGACAGCAAGATCTACCTTAATCACTTTAGTTCCTAGCAATTTGTGATATAAATGTAATTAAACATAAAAAATACTTAAAACTGAAAAAAAAGGAAAGAAAATGCGTTTATTTTGAAGAAAAAGCTTCAAAGTTTAACTTCCTTTGTCTCGCCCTTCTGTGAAATTTAACACCGATGAGTCATTGTTTACACATCTGGATGACCTTGAACATAGCTGGAGTTGGATTTCCCGGGGCATTCTCATAGACGTCGTGGGAGGACAAGGGTTTAAAGTAGGGTGAACACTAGCTGGCCGTATATTATANATATCATTCATCTGTATTTAAGCAAGAAATATCAGACCAAATGTCAGTTAGTTTCTGCATCATTAGAAAATATATATTGATTGTCTCATTTTGTAAGGACAAAGATGTAACAATTTTTATGTAAATTTTCTGCACAGTTGCATAGAGTATATCCAACTGCCTGGGCACTTCTTGTTTATTGCTGGAACCTACTGCACTCTATTGGTCATTCCATATTAGTAGGATAATGTCCTTAGCTTGCTGTGAATAAATTTGCATTCTTTTCCTGATTTTCCTTCAACTTCTTTAAATTGAGAAATTATTCTGAAGAAACGGTGTTACTAGACTTCTTCGCAGTTATTTGCATTAAGTTCCAGAAATATAGCAGTGATATTATTTAGTGTTTTTTCATAGTATAACTTCATGAGTAACAAATTCAGGCAATTGAAAGTATCTGCAAGTATTACATGAAATGTCTCACATCTTTCTTTACACATATCAATTGTCAATTGAAGAAATCAATTTGCAAGTGTTATACTTCTTCTTTGCTTTTATTGTCAAATTTTTCCTGGTAATGATTTTTGGAACTACTTTTTTTCATAGAAATTAATTCTGTGTATTCTGAAGAATATTTCTATTAAGTGTTGTTGAATTTTGATTATTACATATCTCTGCAGATGACTTTGAATAAGATACATTAATTATGATCATTTTGTATTTACATATAAAAATTATTCTAAAGAATTTGAAACTGGAAATACACAAAATATCAGTTTATTATTTTAATATATATATATTGGGTTGTCCAAAAGGTTTATTCAGTTTTTTCCATAAGATGGCTCTAGTAGCACTTCTAGTAGTTGTCTTTAACTTCATTGGAAACAGTTTTGTTAGATTGTATTGTGATAACTGTCATAACAGTGTGAATTTTAGGAAAAGTTTATCAAAATTGGTTAATTTTTGTTTCTCCATTTTAATGTTGAAAATGGAAAAAAGCAACGTTTTTGGCATATTATGCTTTATTATTTCAAGAAATGTAAAAATGCAACTAAACACAAAATAGATTTGTTCAGAGTATGGAGAAGGTGCTGTGACTGATTAAACATACCAAAAGTGGTTTGTGAAGTTTTACCTGGAGATTTCTTGCTGGATGATGCTCCACAGTTGGGTAGACAAGTTGAAAGTGATCAAGTTCAGACTTTAAGAACAATCAACCTTATACTATGTGAGGGACAGCAACATACTCAAAATATCCAAATCAAGCATTGAAAATCATTTGTACCAGGTTGGTTATGTATATTGTTTTGATGTTTCAGTTTCACATAAGTGAAAAAATCTTCAAATGAGATTCTTAAACATAATGAAAATGTTTCATTTTGAAAACAAATAATGACAGGCGATGAAAAGTGGAAACTTTACAATAATGTGGAACATAAGATATCATGGGTCAAGTGAAATGAACCATCACCAACTGCACCAAAGACCAGTCTTCATGCAAAGAAGATAATGTGCTGCATATGGTGTAACTGGAAGAGAGTTCCCTCTGGAAAACCAAACAATTAATTCCAACAAGTACTGTGTGCAATTAGACCAACTGAAGACAGCACTCAACAAAAAGTGTCCAGAGTTAGTCAAAAGAATATGTATAATCTTCCATCAGGATAATGCAAAATTACAAGTTTCTTTGATGACAAGACAAAACTGTTACAGCTTGTCTGGAAAATTATGATTCTTTTACTGCATTCAACATAATTGCAACTTCAGATTTTCATTTATTTCAATCTTTACAAAATTCTTTTAATGGAAAACATTTCAATTTCCTGGAAGACTGTAAAAGGCACTTGGAACAGTTCTTTGCTCAAAAAGATAAAAAGTTTTGGGAAGATTGAATTATGAAGTAGCCTGAAGAATGGCAGAAGGTAGTGGAATAAATTGATGTATACATTATTAAATAAAATTGATGATGAAGGTGAAAAATGTGTCATTTATTTTTTATTTAAAAACCAAATAAACTTTTTGGCCACCCAATTTTTGGCTGTCTATTTTAATCAATTCATTGGAATAACTCAAAAAATATGCACCCTACAAAATAAATAAAATCATTGAACCAAAAATAAATCTTCAAGGAGACATTAAAATAGAACTATTGGTTTCATTAAAAGATGGCACTAAAATTGATGAAAACAGGGTCAACTTCATTTTCTTAAATGGGAACTACATTTTTTATTGGATACTAGCTGCAAGGACCCGCTTCGCTGGGTTTTTATTTGTGGGCAAAAAGTAACGATTGTGAAGATTAAGATAATTACATTATAGCCAATCTTACCCGTTTTCACAAAATGCAAGAATTAGGTCTCCCGTTTCCAGACGTTTCCAGAGAATTTTTACATGAGCATAAAAATATGTTCGATTTCCCGCAAAAGCGCAAAAAACCGCCTGTAAATCTTGCATGCCGCTTTATATTAACACTTCCTGGTCCCGATTCTATTTCTGAACGTCTCCTGTTCACGTCCAGTCAAACGAACTATTTTCAACGTTTCTGGAACGTTTACGATCGTTCTATAATCGAACCAATATTCGAATTTTATGTTCGAATTTAATTCGAACAAATTCGAACAAAACATTCGAAATAGAAAGCCACTTTCAACCACTTTCAGCCTCATATCTCCCGCACCCTTATAGCTATCGAGACGCAACCACCCCTATGCACGAATGGAGACTTGGGGCTACCACCACATACAAACACCATTCACGTGCAATGTGTAGTTTTGGCGGAAAAGTGAAATATAGGGACATAAATGTCCATTTTTATATATAGGCCTATATAGATTATGATTCTACATCAAAAACAAACTTTTATGTAAAACATTTTTTTGAAAGATGCACTTATCAGAAGTTGAGTATTTGAAATTTTATGCACATGTGAATATGTAGATATCTGTGAAGTTCATTGAAAAAAGGAAGAAAAAAAGCTTAAAAAATCTTTTGGAAATTATTGTTATTTGGTGGAACTGTTCTCTTTCTTCAAATAATGAACTGATACAAAAACTAGTGTCACAGCATTTAAAGTCATTGATAAAGCAAAGACATTGATCTTTATTCCACCAAGTAATAATAGTTTCCTAATAATTTTTAAAGCATTTTTTCTACCTTTTTTTCAATGAACTTCACAGATATCTACAGAGTCAATTGTACGTACATGGTATGGTGGCCAAGTAAAACTTCAAACACTCATACCTTCTGATAAGCACATCTTTCAAAAAATGTTCTACATAAAAGTTTGTTTGTTTTTGATGTAGAATCTTAATAATTAATAAAAAAAATGTAGATTCTCATGTAAGAAGATGAAGTTGATCCTGTTTTCACCAGTTTCTAATTAAAATAATGAAGTGCTATCTTCAATGAAACCAATAGCTTCATTTTGTGGTCCTCTTGAAATCTTCTAACATTTTTGGTTCAATGATTTTTTGAGTTATTCCAGTGGATTGATTATATATATATAATTAATCCACTGTAACTAAAAATATATACCTAATAGTTTACCATTATAATTTAAGGTGACTAGATGAATTGTCTTATATAACATTAAAAGTTAACCTCTAGAGCCAAATTGGTTACGTAATTGATTTAGTAATTAGCCTTAAAAACTAGCCCGATAGATTTTCGGCATACGGTTGGTGTTTAATTAAAAGTTAATAATTTTTTAGATTTTGAATTTTATGAAAAGATTCTGTAAAGAATCCCTGTGTCTGTCATGCAGAAATTACTTTAAGATTACAAAGAAGTTTCCAATAAAGGTAATATTTTTAAGAAAATAAAGTATTGTTTTTGTAATTTTAATATCCATGCCTTAATTGAATCCCTCATTTAAACATTTCAGATGGGAAGTTCTCTACATTCCATATTTTCTGGTCTTTTAAATATAAAGAATGGTTCAAAACATAAAATTTAATTATTGCACACAATATTTTCATTATGAAAGACGGCACTAAACGACAATTATTTGTTAAGATGCGACGTCGCAATTACTAATGTTTATTAGAATTTATAAGTTATTTCCTTATATCGTTCGATATTAGGTTTTATCCTTATGTTAACCTTTCATTTAATAAAGATTCGTGCAATGTATATAATTAGAAGATTAAAATTGCTCTGCTATGAGCAATTAATGTAATTTCAACATTAATAGCCGAAAATTTAGAGAGAAACTCATAAAAGTACGTTGTAATCTGCACGTAGAATTATTAATGTATACGTATAACACTCGATGATAGAGACGTGTAATAATAATATGATTCAATTATGTAACGATCTATGGTGAAGAATCTAAAATAAACTGAAAATAATTTCATTTTAACGTATGTTGTTATTTATTAGTTATTAATTAAAATACGTCAAGAAACATTTTATCATATATTGATCTTAAAAGTCTGTAATAGCGCATTTATTGTATATTGAACGAAAGTTTTGTGCTTCAAATTCTTCCCATCCATCGAGGACAGACAGAAAAACAGAATATTCAAACCATCGTTCCAAACAACACAATGCCTGACAGGGCATGGATGTTTTAACTCATATTTGTACCGTTTCAAGAAGAGAGATTACAACCATTGCGACGCAGACACGAACAACGAAGATACCGTTCATCACTTCCTCTTCGAATGCACCAAATACACAACCCTCAGAGAAAATTTCGAGAGAATATGTATCACAGAAGGGAAAAACTGGCCGCCAAAAGAGAACGAACTTATAATGAATAACAAACTTTTTAAAGCATTTGAGAAGTTTATACAGGACAGTGGTGCATTAGTACCTCAGTTTGGTGACCTGAATTTAAATATACTCAACACAGATACAACAGAAACTAATGACAGTGATGACGACAATAACTACAATTCCTTCACAAGCGATGAAGATTAAAGAAAAATGTTAAAAATAAAGACTGTTATATGTATATAAATTCAATTGTGCTACGAATAACATAGTGTGATTATTAAGTTATAAGTTATCTTGTAAAAATTTCTTGTTAAAACTTTATGGATTTCGATCTGTATGATTACATCAAAAATTCTTTGTCAACTGATTACTAAATGTATTACTTTAAAATTATACCTGTTGTATATTTAATATTTCATTAATGTAATAA